TGTGGATAATTTCATGCTGTTTTAAACAGTTTGCTGAAGTCTTTTCACACTCAAAGCACATGTACTCTCTCACACTAGTATGTGTTTTCTGATGTTCTTTCAAAATTGAAAAACGTGAAAAACTCTTTCCACACAAATAACATGAATACGGCTTCTCCTTTGTATAACCTGTCAGGTGTTTCTTCAGGACTGAAGCTTTCAAAAATGTTTTATCACATTGATCACATGAGTACAGTTTCTCTCCAGTGTGGATGTTCATGTGTTCTTTAAGTTGTGCTGATTGTGTGAAACACTTCCCACACTGATCACATGTGTGCGGTTTCTCTCCAGTGTGGATCCTCTCATGTGTTTTCAGGTATCCTGACTGACTGAATCTCTTGTCACGGTGTGAACATTTATAAGGTTTCTCTCCAATGTGGATGTTCATGTGTACCTTAAGGTTTGCTAAGTGTGCGAAACTTTTTCCACATTGATTACATGTGAATGGTTTCTCTCCAGTATGAACTCTCATATGTGCCATAAGGCTTCCTTTTTGTGTGAAACTCTTCCCGCACTGATCACACATGTGCGGTTTCTCTCCAGTGTGGATTTTCAGGTGTACCTTAAGTTGTGACGATTGTGTGAAACTCTTCCAGCACTGATCACAAGTGAACCGTTTCTCTCCAGTGTGAACTCTCATGTGAACATCAAGATTATATTTGCATGTCAAACTCTTTCCACATTGAGTGCAGGTGAAAGATTTCTTGGCTCTTCTTTTCTTTAAATATTTCTGTTTGGTTTGAGAGCAACTCAAAGGTTTTTCTCCATTTTTAAAATGATTTTTCTCCTCAACTTCACTCAATTCTTCGTTCTCCTCACTTTCTTCAATAAACTCTAAAATAAAAGCAAAAGCAGTTCATTTGTCAGTAACTTGAAAAAAAAAACAGAAATGTGAAAGTACATAAAAATGAACCCCGTTCTTTTAATTATTCACCACAGGAAAATATCCGTAAAAAATATAATTTTAAATGGAAAACAAACAGTATTAAATACCTGGGGGTTATCATACCAAAGAATTTGGCTAAAATTTATATTTCAAATTATGGATCTATTACGAAGGAACTGAAAGCAGACTTGGATAATTGGACACCTCTAACTTTTAGTTTGTATAATCGAATAGAAATTATAAGGATGAATGTTTTACCGCGATTATTGTTTTTCTTTCAATCACTACCTGTAGAGATACCAAAAAAACAATTTAATGACTGGAACCGAATGATCTCAAGATTTATATGGAAAAATCAGAAACCCAGGGTAAGACTTAAAACACTACAATTACCAAAGGAAAGGGGAGGACTGTCTCTTCCCTGTTTGGAGGATTATTATAAAGCAGCACAATGAAAATATCTAGTTTGCTGCTGTATTGACGATTATGACGCAAAATGGAAAGAATTAGAATTCAAACAGCTAGACTTTCCTCTCCCTTCTTTATTAGGGGACAAAACTACTAAGATTATGTACTGTAACAAATTAAGCAATTGGACATTAGTTCCTCTTAATACTTGGTTCAAAGAATGCAAAACTCTGAAATTGGAAAGACAAGCACGGCTGCTAAGATGGGTGGCATATGATAGAGACTTCAAACCTGCACAGATGGATGTGCGGTTTAAACAATGGATATGGAATGGCATTAAAAAAAGTATATAAAAAAAATGAACCCCGTTGTAACAGTGCAAAGACAATTTCTATACAAAATTTGTTCCTTTTGATGCAATTTTATAAACTATTCTTCCCTGAAAATATCAAAATATAATTTGTAAAACATTATAGACACAAATCACAAGTTTCTATAAGGAGAACTATTCAATATGTTTGATCAACTACAAAATTATCTAACATACATTTTATGGATGCATGATATTATCGGACCAATATCGGAATCGGCCGATAAAGGCTTTAAATGTAAATATCGGCATCGGCCCGATATGAAAAATTATGCTGATATGTCTTGCCGATAAGGGGAATACATTAACTCACATGCACTCAGGGTGTGCTAGCGATTAGATCATGTCAGCATTGTGGCTCATTCTTGAAGCAAAGTTTTGCCTGAATGATGATTAGATTCACGGTTTTGGATCGCTGCATTTAAACTGAGAATGCACGTACAGAATGACGCGTTTGATGTGTGATATAGTCAACAGTAATGGTGCGTTTCCACTACAGCGTCAAAGCTGCGCTCAGTGTCACTGGCAACGCTACAACGCCACTGCTTTGGGGCGTGTCAAATTTAGGGCAGAGCACGCCTCTGAAAAACACCCTGTTATGTTTCATCTTCTTCCTTTCACAGCGATTGGTTGTCACCCGGCGTTTTTCGCTCGACATTTGCATGAAGTCGAGGAATGCCCAATCTTTTTGACGCTCTCAGCTGCTGTCAACGCTTTCTCCGCGCCGCTTTCAATCCCATAATACACAGCACGAGCGTTTAAGCTCAACTTTCATAGGAATGAATAGAAAACACTCGCTCCACTGCGCTCGCTACGTGCCAGTGGAAACGCACCGTAATAGCACGTGCAGCGGCAGCAGCAGCAGCCTCCCCCGGATCCTAATGCCAGCTCAGTAAGGAGTTTTAATTCCGTAGGGGGCGCTGTTGGCCTACTTCTAATAAAATGAAAGCAAAATACACAAATATTTAGACTGTGTTTGATTAAATAAAGCAGTAATTGATGCCAAACAATCATGAGTATGTTTTGATTTAAAGGTCAGATGCCATAGCTTACATGAACAAAAAAAAAAAATCACAAACATGACTTAAATAATTTTATATATACTGAAATAATTTTATATATACTGATTTATTCATTAATGTGCAATATGTTATATTTTTTAAACAAATTATGAGCTCTAAAAGATTTTCAGAATTTTTACAACTCTTTTGCTTTAGACCATTAAAAAAATGTTAAATCTTAAAATAAAATGTTAAGGTTACCACTGCATCTTTCTGAAAAAAAAAATAATAATAAATGCAGCAATTGAATATAGTTTATTTATAGTTATTTCCAAATTTTCAATGTACTGTCATTATAAAAGAACTTCATTATTGTTTAACTCTAACAAATAAAGATTTTTAAAAACTAACCAAAATTAAAAATAATTTGCTTATAATTTCTGCACAGGAGAGACTTGGTGTTGTTTCCAAACAAAAGCAAATATATCAGCATCAGCTAAAATGAGTTGAAAAATATCGGCATATCGGATATCGGCAAAAATCCAATATCGTGCATCCCTAATACATTTTGTTGAAAAAAAGTGTCCCCCTATTTGCTGCTCCATTTATATTATTCAACAGCTCTAAAGATTGTTTCTATTACAACAAACTAAATCTAAAACTACTTGAAACTAGGGCTGGGTGATAAATCGATAACGATAATTATCACACGATATAGATTTCCTCGATAAACGATAACAAGAGTTCGATAAATGTTTAATATGGACGGACCGAAAGAGCGCCGAAAGACGGACTGAAAGAGCGCTGAAAGACGGACTGAAAGAGCGCTAGTCATTTGAAGCACGCCACTCTGAGCGTTTATCTGCTCGGATCAAAGTTCAAACAGCGGCGCGAGCTTCACTAGAGCAGATGTGTTCACTCCCTGATGAGTCTCCCTGACACAGTGTTAATTTTGACAAACATTTTTGATTTAGTCAGTCTTTATCTTGAGACAAAACTGCTTAATAGTCTTAGTCACATTTTAGTCATTTGAGTCTTTCATAGTTTTAGTCGACAAAAAGTCATTGCATTTTTGTCAACTTTTAGTCATTACTTTGTCATTACTTTTAGTCAAACTGCAGTTACCAACATTTATTTTGGTAGCTATTTTATATGTAGTCTTCAAACAAAAATAGTCATTAATTCTTCTCTCTTTAGACCAAATCAATTAAACTTATGAGAAATTTGAATCAAGGATTGAATTTGGAAAAACTTGAATAAATGACAATTTTCATTTTTGGATTGAACTATCCCTTTAACAGTATAGTGAAAAGGGAGCAACTTATAAAAATTATAGTTGTTCATATATAATATATACAGTATAATATATATAATTATATTTATACTTTTTTTTAAAATAAGCAGAATAAGGCAATAAGACAAATACGAAAGAGATACAAATTAAACTCATTTTTCAGATACAGTAGGTTTACTTAACATTTATTTCACATCTTTTGTTGGTTAACATTAATGACACGGATAGGTACTTAATTAGGAATGCTGTCCCTTTAAGACGGAAGGCATGCTTGTAATACTGACACGCGTTCAGTTTTCACCCACCTGTTTACATTCACTTCCATAACCGACTGCATTTACGTTTTTTTGGACCTGAAGCATTTTTTTTAACGTGTCTATTTGATTTTTTAACGTTTTCAATGACTTTTGGACTTCAAGCCTTCTTTTACCTCAGTTGCATGTGTTGTGTTGTGTTGTGTTGTATTGTATGAATTGTGGATGGATTTATGAACTGAGAAATAAACATGGACTCTTGATGATGAACAGAAAAGGAAATATTGCATATAAAATTATATCAAAGTATGAACTAACTTGTGCAATTCAGTAAATATTCTTACCCTACCCTAAATCAATGGGGGAAAAAAGTGCTGTCCCAATCACCCAAATGTTACAAAACAATTTTTTTTTTGGCTCAGTTTACAGAAAAGTGTACGTCACACATCCTTTCTTTAAAATATAACATTGTTTCCTCCTCAAATGGGTAGTTAATATATTCAGTATTACAGAAATGTATCATGTGTTGGGCTGATGTTTTTAATTTATGGCAAGAAACCTTGCACATGGCGGAAATTCAAAAACTGTCCCAATCACCCAACTCTACACGATAGACATTTGGACTGCTGTGTGTGTATTTGAGCACTGAGAACTGATCGCGCGCTGTATATGAGAACTGAAGAAGTGGAGCGTGCGCGCGAGAGAGCACTTCTATCAGCGCGATTCTGCCCATAACTTTAAGTTAATCGACAACGAATTGTGAGTCCCGGGAAAAATGGGACGTCTGGTCACCTTATCCCTTCGGGTGCTGAGGCCATTGTTTCAGATCGCTAGTTCGCATTTTGGTAGCCTATCCATCCACTGCGGTAGAGTTCTGCATTCCCGCGGAAACCGACCAGATTTTTTGCGCTGCGGGATTAAATTCCCGAATAAAACGCGGTAGCGGTCGGTAACTCTGGTGTAATTTGAACGGAAGCGCTGTTCTAACAATATCCCGTTCCCGACGTCCATTCAGAACAGCATATCTGCGCTTTATTCTTATTGCCCACTGGTACCAGAGTATGTGAGCGGAGTGGAGCGGCAACAATTTCCCCTCCGCGCTCCAAACATTCAATAATCACTCCGCTCGGGTTCACCATTTCCCGCTCCCGCTCCACTCCTTGCTCCACTGATCAGAAACACCGCTCCGCGCTAAATTATTTCACTATGCTTGAAAAATCAAAGTTCTGTTCAGAAATTATATTAAACAACAAATAAAT